GACTTAGCTACAACCTTGACATCAGGTTAAGTACAAATATATTCCATATCATCGAGGCTTCTGGAATCCTGAAATCCTTACAATAAATTGCAAACATGTTTAGTGGCTCCAGAATCTATCCATCAGGAATTAATAGACACAACCACATAACATGGCTCAATGATTAAATATATATTTTCCTATGCCACGTCATTGCTTAAACAGTTCGTCCTTTAGTGTTTTAGTTAGCGACAAAAGAAACAGTTTTCTTCGCCCTCAACATACACTGCCTTATTCCCTTTAACCTTTTTGAATACCCATGTTTTGTGCTAGTCTAGTCCTATTATCATCCTTCTTCTTTGCTTTGCCCGTCCACTTGGGCCTAGAAGAAGATGGTATAGACTAGGTTAGATTGATAGGAACGCCCATACTCTTGATTATCCCTTCATCTGTTACCAATTCTATAAGAATATCAGCGAGTGTGAACTCAAACTGATTCCTTATTTAGTTCACTCTAACAGAGTCGAATGAGTTTGGTAACAAAGCAATAATCATGTCAACTTGAAACTTACCACCCAAGTCAGCCTTATTGATCTCCAGCTAATTTTTAAATAATAAACAATCATTTTTCAAAATTCGATTTCATACTGGAGTTCCTTAGGCTATCTTGATGTTATTCAAGTCTGACATAGTACTTTGGCATACTCTCTATCTAATCTCACCAAAACATCTTATTGACATTTAACATGATGCTTGAAGAAAATAAAATAATGTAAATGTTAGCTTTGGAGCGTATTCGAGGTAAACTCTAGAATATTGCACCAATTCATCTCATTTGCCTTATTTCACTTATTCAAAGCATTAATGTTCTCTTGGGTATCTTAAAGTAAAAGGATTAGGTTTTAGGAGTAGTAAATACATTTGTACCACCACGTTGTGAATAAAATATCTAAATTCCTTTTCTAGTCATTATAAATGAAGTCCACATACATTGAAATTAGCAAGCAGATAAAATGGATTAGACATAATCAGTCTGAATATAAATGCATTCATACGATATATAAGGTGAATTATTAATACTATCATGCATATTTAAAATTAAAATGAGTTTGTTAACCACATAATATAATAAATCTCAATCGAACAAGAGATCATTATCATTATTGGTGAACAATCCCTTTTAATTAATGCGGATCCCTCAACTCTGTAGCATAATAAATCAACCAATCAATATGTCAATAACTTATCCTGTTGGAGGAGTTCATTATTACTATTGTTGAGATTCATTTACTATTAGGTGAGCACTTCCATTAAAATAGTATGTGGGTCCCTTAACCACTGCATGAAAAATCGGATAACCAATACACCAATAACTTATTCGGTTGGCGAAGTTCATTATTACTATTAGCGGGCAAATCCCATCATCTCCATATTTCTTAAGACAATGCCTTGTCTATCTATATGAAATGATTCCCGATTATGTTTAGCCTTTCTAAAATCACCTAGTGTAGACCACTCCGTTGGGGAGCTAACACTATTGATTTTAGATTGAGTGTATAACGTTATTAATGCTCTAATGAAAAATAAAATATTAAATATCTTGTCATTATAATCTAGACTCTTTAAATCATGCGTAGGGCCTTATTTTTAAAGATCTAAGTACAATGAACATTTAATATTATTATTTTCATGAGACAACCATTCTTGTAATATTAAGACTCTTCAAATCATGCGTGGGGCCTTATTTTTGAAGATCTAATTACAATGGTTTTAATAACGAAGGCCATGGGGTAATGTATAAAAATCCCCGCTCCCACTCAATTTTTAATCATTCATAATTAGGGTTTTGAATTTATTCATTTACATGATATAATGTATGCAAAACGTCTTGATTTTAATCCAATTAAATTTAGAAAATATTTGGACTTAAATGATTCACTAATATTTAATTTGAGGCACACTTCAAAAATAATTTACAAAAATAATTTTTCGTTTCCCAATAAGTGGCCTTTAATTAATTAGTAATCAAATCCAATTAATTTTCATAATTTTTAACATTTAATTGCTCTAATAACTGCATGATGGTCTTCCATCAGCATGAAAACACCCGCAGGAGGTTGATACGCGCTAGGAGAAGCAAAACGAGGCTTGCTACGCACCTGGAAGGTCATTCACGAGCTCCCACGCGCCTCTGGAGAGTCCCAGCGCGTGTCACGCGCTCCCACGCGCTTACACGCGCTGGGAAGATGATTCAGTGCATGCCACGCGCTGCCACGCGCCGGCACGCGCGTGGGGAAGGTTCCTTTGTCCGGCGCGTGTTCTTCACGCGCCGGATAGTTGACTTTGTCTGGCGCGTGTATCTCACGCGCCAGAATGCTGACCTTGTCAGCGCGTGTACTACACGCGCTTTTCCATTGGCTGTCCTCTTCAGTGCACCATGGGTGCTGTTACACTAGATTATACGTCCATCTTCCGGCGCTGTCCCTCGCCGTCGGCATTGCTCCGGTCGCCGGAAAATCGCCGAAAATTCCAGAAAATATTTTTAAAATTCCAGAAATTAAATTAAGCCTTAAAAAATTCCAGAAAAATTCTGAAAAATTTCTAAAAAATCCTAGAAAATTCCTGAAGTCTAATTTAACCCTCTCGGACCTTCTTGAAGCTTCATAACATCCTTTGATGAAGATTACATGGCTTTAAATAAATTTACAATTTGAAATATAATGGAAAAAATTAAATTACATCATTGAACTTTCAAACGGCTAAATCAAAGCCTTAATTACATTCATCTAAAGATAAAATTACATTCCAATAACCTATAAGCTTCATCCATGGCCCAAACATTCATCATCATTCATTCACAATTATACATACATCATGATCATATAATAATATAAACATATGCATATATAAATTTGGATCTATGATGATGATTTTGATAAAAACATGATCTCTAGTAATGAATCAAACCATGCTCTGATACCACTGTTGGGAAACGTGCAAGTTTTAAAAACTTTTCGAGGGATTTTGATTCATAGATCTTGATTCATCACATAGAGACAAATTTTATGCAAAAATAAAAATATGATGTATCATTCAATTAATGGATTGAATACTTACATCAAAGGTCTGAGTAAACCTTTAAAATTTTCCTCTAAAGTGAATGTTCTCACTTATTGTAGATCCCTTAGCAAGATGCCTTCTCCTTGGATCTCCATCTTCTTGGTAATTATTTTGCCTTTAGGAATCACTCATAAGCCTCTATGAATTACCTTGGAAAACTAGGCTTGTGGGAGCCTCTATTAGATGAGACCATAAACCCTAATTTTCTAGAGAGAGAAAATTTATTCCTTTTTCCTTCTCATAAAAATCACCCCTAAAATATACATAGACCATGTATATTTATAGGCAACATAAAGGTAAAGAAAAGGAAACAACTAATCCTTCTCAATCTCTAATTCACATGTCTCAAATCTAATATGATTCCAATATCAAGTTGGGCTATGAGTGAGAATCCTTTGGGCTTATTATTTTTATTGGCTACAATGAATTAATAATTGGCCCGGTCCATGGACCCAATTAAATTAATTCATAAATTAATTTCTACTCCATTAAAAGAAATTAATTGAACTCCAATTAAATAATAAATAACCTCTAAGTCAATGTTGCACTTTGACCCCTCTATGCATAATTAGTTATCGGATAAATAATGCCATCAATCCGACTACTTAATTAATATATTTATTTTGGTACCTTTAATTATTTCTTACTTGATCACAATAAAACATTTGTTTGACAAAAATAATAATTTAAATAAATAAATATATAATAAATCATTTTGTCTAAAAATACACGAAGGCCTTCGAATTTACTTTGTGATCAACCATAATCAATACAAAATAAATACAAGTAGCAATGATGCAAATATTGAAAATATAATCCTCTAACTATTAATTATATAACTACCCAAAGTGTCGGTCTAAGGATTCCGAAGAATCCGCCGAACAAATCAAAGTAATTATTAATTAATAAAAGAGTCTATACTTTTCTCATGCTTAAGAGTCAAATGTCATGACGGTGATAAGGAGTAATTGCATACGACGGCTCTCGCAATATATCTCAACCTAACGCGGATCCAGTTCAAGTCTTAATTAATTATGAGTCCATCCATAATTACCGACTATGAACAATTTATAATTACTATTTATATATCATGCATTGATTGTCATCACATACATATATATAAATATTTCTTGTAATTACATGGACACTATCAATTTCATAGTGAATCGAAACATAATACATTGAATTCACCAATTATATAAATCATAAATATTTCAGATATGTCAGGAACATATGTCACTATAATTCAGATAGGAATTTGCTATGCCAGGGCATATAAATTCCAACAAGAATATGTTCCAGTAATCTTATTTTATATTTATAAAACTTGGGATATTTGCAAAAAAAATTAGCCCCAATAAAAACTAATTAAAGTTGCTTGAATCGATTCCATCAAAATCTAAATGTCACAACATCACCTAAACCACTGCATTGTTGATCGACCTGGATTGAATCGACAATCTTTTTGAAAACATAAATACATAGACAGACTCCTTCAATCTAGGCTTCATCATTGCCCTAACAATATTAACTAGTAATTTGAAATACAAATAAGGGGTACCCAAAAAAAAAAAAATCAACTAGTAATAATTTAACAAACAAAAAATATATATTAACTAGTACTACTAATAACTACATCCAAAAAGTGTAATTTTGTAAAATTTTCCCATGTTTCCAAGTGAAAGATTGAGGTTGTTTTTGGTATAAATGAGTGTAAATAAAAGAAAGCATCATAATGTTACTTTAAGTGAAGAGAGAGAACTTAATTTGTTGTGGCACGTTCTAAAATTATTTCGTTTGATGGGCCACGAGTTTAATGGTCCAGTTCTTGTATACCAAACTTGTCCAAAAATCCAAAGTCCAGTCCATTGGACTAGCCCATGCAAGGCCTATATTCGAAGCATTTTCCGGCACATACACACACACAGAGAGAGAGAGATGAGCGCGGCATGGAGGTGGGTCGTGAGGATGACAAGGGACTCGAAGCCATTCTTCTTGACGTTTGCCACCGTATGCGGCGTCGTACCGGGTGTTATCGGCTACTGCGTTATGCAGATGACCAACTCCAGCAACCAACAGCTTGAAGCCCAACTCCGCCAGAAAGCTAGTCCCGAATCCCTTGTATGTTTCTTTACTACTTCTATCTATGACCTATCTTGTGTGTGTCTATATATATATATATATGTATATGATCCAATGCATCAACAAATCGTTATAATTTATTTATTGTTTGGCGTAATCGTACCCTAACTGCATTTAATTTTATGAAACTGATGATTTAATTGTCAACTCCTTTAGTTACATGTTTTTTTTCTCCAGTTTTTAGTTTCATGTTTGATGCCTTTTAGAAATTACCAGAAGAAGATGTTTGATTTCTCTCCTTAGTTTCCATCATTCTCTTTGATGGATGCTTTAATGCTGATCTTCTATATTTATGTTCTTATTATTTGGGGGAAATAATATTTTAATATTTTATGGAAACAATTGTAGCTCTTGGCCTTTTATCTGAACACATCTGTGCTGATCAATTCGTATATATGTTCTCGAACCCGAATCCTCTCATGGGCCATTTCAGCCTGTGCCTGTGCCATTTCATCCTGTGCCGCAGTACATCGCTTATGCAACAACTTTACATTTGCTTATGCAACAACGACTACTTTTTCATGTATCTGTTGCACTACGATGTAGTACATTTCACTAGCGATGTACCAGGGACACAGGACCAAGGCATAGGTCCGGATTCATATGTGCTGATGTATTTCTTTCATTGTCTGTAAAATATTCTAACTTATTGCCTATTGAGATGACCATAAATTTGGTGATTGAGGTGGATGTAAACACACAGAAATTCGGTATTTAATGCGAACAATGCGACTTAGATGATTGGTGAACAAACCTTTTTAGTAAGTTTACTAGTCCTTAGAGCTACAAGGTACAGTGCAACCCCCTTCAACACAAATTTAATAATCCTTGTGTACTGCAATTTTTTTAAGGCTTTCTTCTTTCATTCCTTAATTCCAAAAAGAAGACCCAATATTTCTGCTTTGTTAGAATTTTCTTAACCCTTGAGTCTTGAGGAGGAAAGGAAAAAGTAGGGGTAATAGTCTTGCACTATTTGCAATATCCTGCTGAATTGCTGATCATACCGTATTGACACGTTATGTGCAGGAACTCCAACTCAAACTCCACAATGCCTTTTCATCAGCTATTTGCAGTCACCTATAGGAATCCTATAAGATAGAATATAGGCAATTACCGGACGTTTGACTCATAGAACATGGAAACTGAACTTGAATGCTAGGGAAGTAGAAGCGGTGAAACCATAATTGATAAAATATTCAGCATAAGAGAAATTAAAATTGAAAATTTGAAACATAACAGGGACACTTTTTTCCTCTTATGGTCTGATCTCACTTTTTGAGGGCTGATGGAGTTCGATGGAGAAAGAACCTTCTGATCAGGGTTGTGAACAACAATAAATGAGGATGAGCTGATGGACCTCATGATCTGACTCTGAATATGGATGAACTGAACTCTTCTATGGGGATATGGCGTTCAATGGATTCTCCATCTTCTCTTATGGGTTGGCATCCGGGGCTTCAAATTTTTTTTTTTTTTTGGGCGGGGGGGGGGGGGGGGAGGGGGGGTTAAGGGAGGACGGGATGAAAAATGAGGCAAGGATAGAATTAGGGTTAGATAAGTAAAAGCTATTAAAAGCAAACAACGTGACTGTGGTTCATTTCTAGCTCAATTATTACTCTATTTCTAGGCTGATTAAATCATGGGTAACCCTTATTTCCCCCATCGCTTGTACCTATTTTCCTCCAGTCTCCATCTTTATAACATATCATAGAGGTTTTCATCTTCTTTCCCTTATTTTAAGTCTTGTGTGATGCTACTCAGCATCTGCGTCGCGCCTTTGCACCTATTAGCCCCACATTTGATGAGGATGCTGTATCCTCCTCTCCATTTTCTTCACAAATGTGCTTAGTGCCTTCCTTTTTGGTAATCACTCAACTCTCATCACAAATGATCATGACGTTGATTCCTCTAAGTTGGTTTGGATTGCCTCTGGTCTTTACCTTTGTCATATTGCAGGTGCCTTGCACTTTTATCTTCCTGTCATCAATCACCCAAGGTTGTCTGCCTTTGTGTGTAGTTTGTCACCCCTATGATTCCTCCTTAAGGATTTGCCCCTCTCATCCTTCTCAAAGTCATTCAACAAACCTGCTATAGCCATTGGCTAATGCTAATTCCCAACTCTTCCATTTCCTTGGCCCAGTGCCAACCCAAGTTTATAGCTTGTCTATAAAGAAGCACAAATTACTACCTTCGTAGCATCTATGGATTCCAATGTCAGGGGTTGAGGATCCTTAGATTGACCATTGCCAAATCCTTCTCTCCCCTCACTGCCTTAATGAAGAGGCACCGCCATATAGGGGTGCAAGTTGGGCGGGTTCAACCCAACCCGAACCCGGACCGAGTTTTTCAAGCTGGGTTTTGTTATTTTCCCAATTCGAGTTGGGCTCGGATTGACTGTTTTCAGCCCAACCCGAACCCATTTTGCATATTATGAAATTTTATTTTAAATTATAAAAAAATAATAAAAAATCCTCACGTTTCATGCTTTCAATCTAACGGTTGTGCTTGTATATAACACTCTCAGACTAGAGGACCCTACCCATTCCTTTTATTTATCTCTCTTTTCATCCGTTGAGAATCCATCATCGCTGCTGCTGCCGCCAATATTCTTCTGGGTATTTACAAATCTGTAACCTCTCACTGATCATCTCCTATATTTCAGGTACTCTCTCAGTCACACACAACCCACCATTTTTCTCTCTCTTGCTCTCACTGCCGCCGCCCCTTGCTCTCTCGCTGCCACCATCCCTTACTCTCTTGGTGGCAGCTTGCTCTCGCCTCCACTGTTCCTCCGAGCCTGTGAAAACATTCTTGTTTTTTTTGCTTCTTTGATTCTAATTTTCTTGGGGTTTCCTGGATGTGGTAGAAAAGTTAGGTTTTGAATTTTGGAAGTTTATGCTTCTGTTCGTCTCAAATCCCAAGCAGTAAACAGTAATGGGTTTATCATAAAATTGACTATGAGAAGAATGGGGGTTTCTATTTACCAGGGAAAAAAAAAAGAAGAAAAAGAATAGAGGGTTTCTCAGGAAAAGAAAAGGCTGAGTTGTTAATTGTAAGCAAAAAGGAAAGGTCAGATACACAAAAAAGGAATTTTTTTTTTTATAAATTTGTATTCACAGTTTTTTTTCCTTTTTCTTTTTTACTTTGCTGCGTAAAAAGCTACATTGTTGTTTAAAATAAATAAATAAATAAGGTCAGCCGGTTAACCAGTCAAATCTGGAAACATTCAGGTTCGGGTTATGAGTTGAGCCCGAATTTGGGTTTACCTCAGGCTGGCCCAACCCAACCCGTGTCAAGTTGAGGTCGGATTCGGGCTGGGCACGCCCAAGTTGCAGCCCTACCGCCATAGCACGATAGTATTGGCAAGACATATCACTGTAACCTGTGCTCTTTACTAGTCATCTTGATGTCCAGGGTCTCAAATTCCCTCGCTGTCAAAAGAAATTGTCTATCTGATGCTTTTTTATTTTCCTTGGTTATACAACGTCCTCCCTAGCCCTAGATCCCTCCTGTAGGCACCAAGTTATTCTGTAGGCTAGCCACTTTCTCTTGCAGATTTCTTGGCCCCCCTATTCAAAACCAATAGGCCTTTGCCCTCAAGGATTTGCACTCAATCATCAACCTATCTAGTTCATTTTCAGCCGTAAATTGACAGCCTTCTGGGCTCCCCCTCAATGAGATACTCTCATTCCATGGCTTCAATTTGTTGCTCCAAGGCTTCCTTTGCCCCCAGTAACTTGGTTCATCAAGCTTGTCCTTGACCCCTTTTTTTTGTCCAAGAAAGGGTTATTTAGACTCTCATCTCCAGAGCCGTCTTTCATCGGCAGAATTTCCCTTGAGTAGTAACTCTTTCTTCCCGCTACCTGTGGAGTGTAACTTGCTTTGGCACCAACTATTATGGGCCTAGAGTTCGTCCTTGCTCTAACAAACTCATTGGCAACTAGGCATTTCCCCCACTTGACAAGACCTAGGTTTGCCTTACCCACAAAACTGATCAACAGACAATATGGAGTCTCCTGAACATTCCCACCTCTTTAACAGAACCTTCTAGATCTCCTTACAAAATATCTCATATTTTATCTATAATGTTTTAAAATAATCTATACAGTTCTACTAGACTTAGTTACATAGAAATGCCATACCGATGTCATCCATCATCCCAATATGTGTTTGTTTGGTGTTTGCATGTCTTAACCTTTTAAAAAATGGAACTTAACTCAATTACATAATAGTTGTTCTGGACCAGCACTTCTTGTTGCAGTGTAAGAGTTGCAGATTTGGTCATGCTCTCATGTTTCATAGGATATATGTTGTTTGTATTGCGTGATGTGGTGAAATAAGGCCATAGAAACTGTCTCCACTCCCCACTTAATACCCCTCATCCCCTCTCTGGATTTGTGCTATCTCAGTATGTTCCAATTGATCCATCATCCATTCTTAGTGGGTGCCTTACTGCCTTGAAACCCCCATGTCTAGCAATGTACAAATAAATTTAGTGTTTACAGGGGGAAATTAGAAAAACAAATAAATTTAAATGCTTTGGTAGTGTACCACTGTACCATAATTTCCTCAATTACTTTTGCCTCTCTTTCTTCCGTCGATTAGTAAGTTTCCACACTTTTTTGCTTTCAGTGACCGACTTTCTAAACACAAATAGAGGGAACAAGTGCACTTAAAAACAGTTACTTTATATTGAACATTGCAGGTCCATGCAGTTTCCAATATGTTATATAGAAACCTGCAAATGCATTTTGAAATCATCATGGGAGTCATTTTTGTGACTATACTTGAGACTAACTATACCATTTGATATGTGTCCATGTTATATAGAAACCTGCAAATGCACTTTTAAATTATCATGGGAGTCAGTTTTGTGATTAGATTTGAGACTAACTATATCAGTTTGATACATTTCTTCTCCCTTGTGATAAGAATGTGCTATTGTCCTTCATGTCAATGAAGTTCGAAACAATACCAATTTGATCATGTTATTTGCTGACTTGATACCCCGCCAAGCACCCTCAGTTAATGGACACTAACTGGGGATCACTTCTTGTCTTGACACAGCAAATATGTTATCAAATGGGTATCGAAGGGGGGCAGGTGGAAATGGGTATCAATTTTGTGCTTATCTTCTTCTTCCTTTGTTTTTACATATATATCTTTGTACGTTCTTAGTTTAGTTTTATGTTAGTGGAAAATCATTTTGACATATATTGTTTGGACTTGTAAATTAGATGATGGGGAAAGTTAACAAAGATAGGCTGGCAGAATTCCTTGGGGAACTACAAAGGAAGGAGGAAACCAATGACAGATATGTAGCTGCTCTAAAAGGTGAGACATTGACTAGAAAGCAATACGTGAGAATTCAACCAATCCCGGATAGTAGCAACACTGAAGCTAAAAAGGAAGACAAGGTCGAGAATGTTTAGTGGTTCTGGGAATCGATTTGTTGTAGCAGGGCATGGACTAGAATGTTTCATTGTTACACAACATACACCTGATTATTCTGACTCTCTGAATCATGGATGTTTCTTCCCCCTGCCTCCTCTATATATGTATCTTTCTTTTTTTGGTAGGTAATAATATCTCTTCTTTTTCATTGTTTCACGTATTTAAACTTTTACCCTCCATTTGGTTCTGGAAAGGAGTGTTTTATTTGTCATAAAAGCAAAGTGACCCAGGTTGGGGATTCAAATTTTCAGAAATGGAAAGTGAATTGAGCGTTTTACTTGTCAAGACAAGAAAATGAAAATGTGGCATAGGTGTAGTCGCTGTTCTGCAACTTTGAGCCGTGTTACTGACTGTAGGCGGGCACTTATTGGTCCAAAGCATTATACCATGTTGTTTGGTACTTCTCCCTGGATTGTATTTATTTCTTTATTCGTATGTGTATGTATTTAGGAGTAGATATTTTGCAATTTATAGTAATAAAATAAAATCGCTATTTAACTTAAACCTAGTTTATTTAATTAGCCTATAGCATTTTAGTTTATTATATAAATTGGTACCAAGTGTTCAACATAAAACCTTAATTTGTTCTGGATCAAACAAAAGTAAATAGGGTGTTAGAGACGTACTGCATTATTTCACAAACAAAGAAGGAAGGTCCTTTGTGAGCTTATGCTGAAATCAGACATGACAGCACCCAAACAAGATACAAGAGGAACAATCATCAAACATTGTTTCCAACCACCACTGACAGAATCCAACATTTTACTCACGTGAAACAGAGAAACTAAGGTTGCTCTCACAAGGGTGACAATCACAGGCAATAATTTCAATAATTTCTTGAAGTACACGACCGTGAAATCACAACCACTGGATTTTTCATGGAAAACCGAAAATATAAATTCAGCTAAGAACTAAGAGAACATACAACATGGACAAATACTGTACAAGGTAAGCCACATTTTAACTTGTGCACATTCACATGTTCCATGTTCAGCCGTAAGTGACTGAAAGCAGATCATTATGCTGAGACACTTGCACAAAAGTCGGTAATTATGTCTGGTTCTCCAGCTTCAATCACCCCGTATACACCCTGAGACGATTGCTGATCCGTTGGCGGCATATGGGGCAGTTGGACAATCTTGAACCACAATCTCTACAAGTCTGCAATCAGTCAACTTCGTGTTGCTCAAAAGTGTCCCATAACATCAACGCGTAATTCAGATTGGAAAAACAGAAGATAAATATATATGGTGTTGCTGTTTCAATCTTACCAGGTGTCCACATTGAAAGGCCAAATCCTTGGAGTTTGTCAGGCAAATTGGGCAGACCTTCATTTCAATAAAGGATAAAAGAAAGATACATGCATTAGAATTCCAGAAAATAAATTTGATTTTTGGGCTGATTAATCTGCAAACATCAGGGCGCTTTACCCAGTTGGTTCGATAATTAGATTATGGTAATTCAAATTCAACCCTGAAACCAGCTGAACTTGCTGCTAAATTTCATTTTGCATCTTGTTAAGTTTCACGGGGTTTACTTGTCAAAAAAACAAAGGTTTCACGGGGCATATTGATAGAACTAGGAAACCAAATGGACTTGTCTGACAATTTTCCCAATCAGATGCTGAATCTATCTATCATGATCCTTACCTGGCTTCGGTCATCTGACGAAGGCGCTGAAGGGTTGCTTGGCTGCCAGGATGGAGGTGCTGCAAGCCGACTGTACGGAACTGGAGGAGGGCGTGGAACTATTTTTCTTGCTTTCCCCGTTGTGCGTCTTTTCATCCAATGCAGCAACAACAAAAATACAATTAACAACAACAAAATTAGTAATAATAAGGGTAAAGTGCAATAAACCCCCCTGAACTTTACTCTCTCCCAAAAACCCTGAACTTTTTTTTATAAAAAAAAAAAACTCCCTAAACTATTCAGATTTTTGCAAAAAAAGACAGATGACACTATTCGGTCAGTGTTTGGCCGTAAAGTAGTCACTATAAATTTAAATGGCAATCCTACCCTTACAGTTACTGTATTGATGACACCACAATAAAATCCCCAATTGGAACCTTGCTCCTTTGGCATTGCTTAGCAAATAAAGTTACTGCTCTCATATACTCCATCCCCAATCGAACCATCAACCCTAATGGAAATCGCAATCTCTCTCTATGCTCTGCAATCTTCTGTGATATACAGTGAGAAAACGAAGGGGTCAGTTTTATTTGTTTCACAAACCAAATCGAAGGTTTGTTGAATCTATTTTGTCGAGATAAAGCTGATTCTGTTAGTTTTTCGAATTAAGCTCTATCTATGTTCATAGGAATCTCCGGAACCATTGCCGAAATTGGGTCTCAGCATCTCGCTGATTTTGTCACTGCAGTTGGCCGTCAAGAGCTCAAGTTTCTCGCCAGTGGTGTTGCTGGAAAGAGAGACTTTCACCGTTCTGCAATTGTCATCGGAGTTATGTCTCTACAACGTCGCTGGAGCTCGTGGGTCTATGGAGGTGAAGCTGGCCGGACATGTTCACGCTGATGAAGGAAGTTCTAGCTCTCAATGATTTTCACGCTTCCTGGTCTCGACGGTAGGTCTCGTCGGTTTTTACTGGTCTGATTCAGGAGTTCCGGCTACTGATGGGTCCTCAATGCTGTTCCGGCCATGGGTAGTCGCCGTCCTCATCGCCATTGATGCTATATGAATGTTATTGGAGGGCTGATACGGAAGAGTAATTACTTGGCAGGAGTAACTAACGAACAAACCAATTAATGGCACTGGTAGTTTGGTTTAATTCATTCATCAATAATTTTGTCACAATTTATTCATCAATAATTTTGTCACAATTTCATCTTTTTTGCGAGCATGCAAAATAACAGGGTTCAAGCTTGAACCCTGAGACAATATCAGCCCACAAATTTCCCCATTGTTAATTTATGTGTCCACTAAGGGGCAACATTCAAACACTTGTTGAAACACCTCTCTCCCCCGCATCCTTTTAGCACCAAGTACAGAGATGAAGCAATAAAGCTACTGTTGCAACGGCGTTTCTGTTACGAGCAGGAAACAATGTTGCAAACAGGTCCAATAATGGTGAGGTAAAGATGTGATGCGTTGGTAATAAGATGAGAAAGATGTGTTTTAATTTTGGTTTTTCTTATCATCAATATGATGAGCTCAATGGCTGAAGGAGGTATAGTTTCTGTGATGGAGTTTTCAGAGTTGATTGGCTGTGGTCTGTATGGTTGGTATTTGGCACTAAATTGTGTATTGTAAGGTGTTGTTTGGCATAAATGATAAGGGTAATTTCGTAATCTAATATTTCCGGAGAGCTCCGGTGCCGGCAAATTTGGAGTTTGTACTTAAATTGCACAATTTAAATAGTTTAGGGGGTATTACTTAGTTCAGGGGGGTTTGTTGGGAGAGAGAGTAAAGTTCAGGGGGGTTTATTGCACTTTACCCTGATAATAATAAAGCAATGATGCATAACCAGATCGATTCAAGTGTAAATCATGCAACAGCTATCACTGGTTGAAAGGCAACATGATTCAAATCATACGTAAATTTGTTTTCTATTGAAATTGAGATCTTGTATCCGGTAAAATAAAATTGTTACCAAGCCCAACTAATGCCGTCGTCAAAAACAAATATAAAAGAGATGAATGACCTCACTGTATTGAAACCCTCAAGATGAACCAACATTCCGAGCACTGAAAAACGTTTACTAAGCGTGTTCTAAATGATAGGGAAAAGATTTGAAATTATTTCAATTTCACTTGGTTGTTTGACTTCATGAGTGATCTAAACCGAAATTCTCATGCGAGGGAAGGCTTAAATTTAAGTTTTCTTTGGTGCTAGAAACCAAATGGAATTAGTAAACTAAGAAATCAGGTACTCCTTACCCTAGTATACCAAGTTCAACGGCTGCTTTATATTGGATGGGGATCTCCATGAGGGCAGCAAGAGCAAATGCAGCTTCTTTTTCAGCGGGAGTTGAACTTTTAGACATAATGTCTGTAAAGTTAACAAACTGTACACACAAAATACAAACAACAAAAGCCATTATATGTTGAAATCTACCAACATGAAGTCAAAGTGTATTCTACACTACTGGTGATACCTGAAAATTATCAAAATCACGAGAAGGGATCTTGTCATCAAACTTCCTCATGTCTTCCCAGGGTCCATCTCCAACACCAATAAGAACAATTGAGAGAGGATGAAAACTGGTCACGAGAGGAAAGCCAATAAATTATTTGCTCCAAGTTTTCATGATTATTCATTGCATTAAACTTTAGAAACAAAGCAAAACTTAGCAGAACTCTTGAAGCCTTGAACCTCCATGCTTTAAGAGGGAAACAGCAAAAGAATTACTAATGTTATTGATTTGACTCGAGAAGAAGTGAAGAACATAAGTGAATCAGTATGTTATATATGTTGCCTGCTGCCACCTATTCATCTATTGAAAACAAAAACCAAACATGTTCTAGGAAAGCAACGAAATACTATATTGCCACACAAGGATAGCAGAAATCCCATTTGGATTCTCAGATGGTAGAAATAAAGTTGGCGGAGTGTGTGCGGGTGGGTTTGAAAAAGTCTAGTTCGCTCTTTTTAAATTGGACAGGGTTTATGTGAATATTAATAGGAGTCATTACCTAGTGCATTGGTAAAATGGTTGTCAGCCGTGAGAATACGGTTTCAAATTGTGAGAGCAGTCACATTGTGCGCCAAACGGTTGCATCTATATCTAGTTTGTCCTTCCAAGCACCCTTAATTTACAGGCGGCACACTGAGTAATGACCCTTTTATGATAATTTTATAAGATTATTAATGCCAATCACAGACAAAAAGCACTAACAATGAAGTAAAGCAAGGGTAGAGACAACCGAATTTTAAGTTAAAAACCCACACCAGGAGAAACCACACCGAACAATCCACTATCAGAACAAGTATAACCCATTACTCTGACTCAGTATTAGGCCCAGAACACTTGCAAATAGTCAGTTGCAGATTGTCTTAGACATACAACTGATTGTCCACATGGTGCCTTCAGAGAAATCCACACACAACACGCCTTCTTCATATATGTGCATTTGTTCCATGTGCAACTTTGAACTTTTTCTGAACTTGGATTTTTTTGTTTGCCTTGGCACTTGCAAGAGAGGGTTGCATCTACTTATCAAAAAAGAGAGAGAGAGAGAGAGAGAGAGAGAGAGGGTTGCATCTAAGGGAAGGTGTTAGAACTTGATATAAATTAATGGCCACATTCACAAAAAAGGCATTTGGTATTCTAAGATGACCTGAGACTGTGGCCCTGAGGGTCTTAGGTTCAAGTTTCTATCTCTGCATTTCTTCCCAGGTTCAGTGTGCAAGTTTACAGTTTGTTCAGGTTTGATTAAGTTTATTTGTCTCATTTGTGAAATACAGGTTGCACTTAGTTGCTGTACGGTCTCTGTTCAGGTTCGATTAGGTTTCTTTGCCTCGCTTGTGAAATACAGGATGATATATGTGTTTAGTTGCTGTTGTAGTCTGCGTAAAGGTATTCATACAATTCAACATGAATCATGTGACCAAAGTTATTTGTGACTCCAGAATGACAGTAAAAAGAAGAGAAACTGAAATCATCTGGTTTACATGGGCATACCTTGCATTGACAACTGCTTTAATTGTTTGCTCCTCTTGTGGGCTGAGTTCACGATCGCTTGTATTGACGCTTCTTGTAACCTTCATGAGAGAAGAATTTAATAAGTTATGCCAAGCAGCAGTGAGTTTTCTTGTGTTGTGTGAATAAGGGGAAGGGGTAGTTTAGAAGTGATGAGTGCGCTTGTGTTTGTATAAGAGGGAGGTGGGATTATTTAGAAGTGACCTGTCCATCTGCTATGAGAACCAAAACATGGTACTGCCCACCACTTTTCTCCACTATGTCTATTGCAGCCTCTACTACCGGTCCGTAAGATGTTGGCCCTTAAAAAAAAAATCACGTGGCTCTATGATGATTTCAAGGCTATGATCTCAGCATAACAAAACATTTGAAGAAATATATTTGAAAAGAGTCCATGATTTCTTTACAAAAGCATAATGATCGATAAACAACAAACAGCATCACAGAAAATACAGCAAGAAGCCAACCTGACAGTTGCAAGTTTGGAACTATCTTCCTATAGCAAGCTAAAACTTCTTCAAAGCCATGACAAGGTGAATGATCATTGTGAAAGCTAAAGACTTCTTGATCATGGGTAGTCGCTGTCATGAACAAATTAATCCAAAAAAGTACAAGAAAAATATTAAATGATCAAGGAAAAAATTGGGTAAACAAAATAGAAAATAAAATAAATCAACTCTTGGAAGACCACGTCTTACCATCACCAAACCCAAAACAAGGAATTAAGTTGTCTTCATCGAAAGGAGCCAAAGTTTTCCCAATAATAGATATGGCTTTCTCGTATGGATTAGGTGTATCACCAATGGCATGCAGGCTCCTATTGTTGAATGAAACTTTGCCTTCAATGACAACATTAGCCATTCATGCATTAGCTTCTAAAACATATAAACAGAAGACACCCCTTAAATCAGAATAAATTCCCAAGGCAAATGAATTGTTTAACCAATAAAAACCCAAGCCAATACATCACTGGCCTGTGGCCATGGTGTCATGATCAAGCAAAACAGGATTGTGGCCATATGTTGCCAGGGACGGAGCCAATTTAGGCTCAAGGGCCCCGAATACATTTTACATAATCCCTCCCCCCTCCTCCCTCCCCCCTCCCCCAAAGATTTTCAATTGCTAAAGTTATCTCTTATTTGTTTCCCTTTCTTGTCTCTTTTATTCTTCAAATTCCTTTGATTTCCTTCTTTATATATTAAAAAATTATAAATAAATTAAGAAAATTATAAATAAATAAAAAAGTTTTTAAAAAATTAAAAAATAAAAATAAAAATTTGCTCAATTAGGCAAGTCACTTGCCCCAGTGCCTCAGGAGGAAGCATCAATTCGACTCCTCTTAGGTGCAAACAATTCTTTGGAGGGGGTCGTGTGAGCACCAACTATGGGGAAAAAAAAAAAAAACAAACAAACAAACAAACAAAACGCTCCCTTCAAAGTTCCCTCATTTTTCTTCTTCTTTTGTATTTTTTTTTTCCCCACTTCTTAAAACTCTTCTTTTTGCACTTATGTATGCACTATAACCTTCTTTTTTCTTCTTATTCTTTTTTATTTATTTATTTAAATGTATTACTGTAATTTTATGAACTCAATCTGTTTATTTTATATTTTTGAATTTTTCTTTCCTGTAATTTTTTTGTTCATAATGACGGTTAGATGTCATCTTAGTTGGAAAATTAAAATAAAATTATTTTATTATGTTCGATATGCCTCCCTTAAAATAGATTTATGGCTCCGTCACTACTTTAATTGAGGCTAGCATGCATCCCTAAATCAATGGAGGGTATCATACATCGCTTTCAAAATACAAAGACTCGTCGAGGACAGTTTTAATTATATTCAATAGAAATATTATCAATCAATATTTTGGTTCTTATATTTATCAAGTATTTATCTTTCTCATACAATTTCTTGGTTAGCATATTATATTGCAATGATTTTTTTTCATTTTTTTTTATTTTTTGGCCTTTTGATTTGAACAATTTAGATTTGTCATGTTACAAGTACATTGCACCACCCTAAAATGAAATCTTGGCTCCGTCCCGATATGCTGCTACAATGGTATAATATCTATTTCAGAAAGTAAATGATAGTGAAATAGTTAGATTCAATAAACTAGAGAATTTCAAACATCCACAAACCTGTCCATTCGTTACTTTTAGTGAAATCTATTCCAAGAATAAGATTTGACGACTCTAATCCTGACTCTCTCAAGGCCGCAGTAACCTGCAAAAGCAAAAAAGCATGTTAGAGAGCTTAAATGATTAAGCATACCCAAGTTATGCTCTGCTTGGTTTCAGTGATGGAAAAATGGCCAGAAGGGATAAGGGGAGGGATGGATGAAGCATTCCAAGGGAAGGAAATGTGTCTCTTGTTAGCAGAAAGCACAAAAACAACGTTGTTTGAGGAATAAACATAAGCAATCACGAAGAATAAAACAACCATACACAAAGAACACAAGATATCCATGGTTCACCCAAAGATTAGGGCTACCTCCATGGAGCGCACCGAACAAATTCCACCACGAAAAAGATGAAGAACACAATGGAGAATTTTCTCTCAATCTCTCTGAATTGCTCTCTCTTGTGTTGGCACAAATCTCACCTCTCATGTCATCATAATATTTATCATACCTTAAAATCAGATTTGGGTTGTATATATAGTCCCAAACAATATAGCCAAACTTGTCCCACAAGAACTTGCCTTTTTAGAGTCCAAAACCAATAAGGAAAGCACTTTTCGCAACTTCCCAGGAGAATGGAACACGTTCCACATTATGGAACTTGTTCGCTTGTAGTACACTAACATAGTGTAACACGGAACCTGTTCCATTTTGTTAGTAGCCAAAACCAAAATTTGCAACGCCACACGCGAAACGCATTCCATGGGTCAAAACATGTTCCAATATGCCAATAGCCAAAACTAGACACCAAAATCAGCAAATTTGAAACCTCCCAAATCCTTCACGTGATCAGACTCCACAAACCACAACATCTCCCTCACTGTTTGTTTGGTTGAATTGAAGAAAATGAGAGTTTTTATATTTTTTTAACCAATATACCCTCATTACATAAAATTATAAAAAAACAAGTATTTGTTTAGAAAGGTTAAAATTGGTATTATATATTTAAGTAGTTATTCACTCTTTCCCCCTCTCTTCCGCCCAATTTTGGAAGGATAAGAAAAATTGAAGAGGGATCCTCCCTGCTTGCCATTCCTTCTAACCAAACATGAGAAGGCTCATCCATCCCTCCTCTCTTCCATATTTCTTCAATCCATCCTTCCAGCCAAACATAGCATTAGTGAAGGTAAAGTATATAGCCACAAGTTAATTGAAATTGAAAAGCTAAAATTTATTCACAAGGAACTTATCCAAATCTTTTTTTTAAATTAAATAAACAATGATTATTGACTTATATTAAAATATAATAGGATAGGATGAATAATAGGTATATGAATCTTATTATCTAATTTAAATAACTTAGAGAAGGAAAAAAAAAAAAAAAATTCAACGAGAAAGAATGAGACACACAGATTGTCAATTTTAAGCGACCACAACTGCACTTGTCACAGAATGATGAACCACATAATGATGAACGCTTAGAAATTCCAAAAGATATCGAAATTATTTTTTTTTTAGGGTAATTAAATTACCCTGACCTCCCCTGAGGTTTAGCCTTACTAACCTTAAATGAAAGTTTCGAAAAAAATTGCATCAATCTCCCTGGGGAAAACACAGATAACCCAAAATTTTGAGAGAATTTTTTTAAAATACCAAAAAAACCCTTTAATAAATATAATAATTATTTTTTATTCCTACTAAATACTACTAATTATTTAGAGATTAATCCTATATTATATCACAAAAATAATCAATTTATTTCCATATTAGCAATAACATGTCATATATATATATATACACACACACACACATACATACATAACATATACGAAGTGTGTGTGTGTGTGTGTGTGTGTGTGTGTGTGTGTGTGTGTATAGGACGTAAGAACTGGACAGTGGGCAACCAACGCCAACAGCTCCTCCCTGCAACCATCACCTCTCCTCCGCCGCCGCCATCGCCTTTCTGGCTTTCTACTCCACATCCACCATCGCTTCTCTCTTTTTACAAAACCCAATCCAGCTCCTCTCTTTCTACAATTCTCGATCCAACTCCTCCAATTTTTGTGACCAAAATCAAATTCCCTTTCTTAGAAATACACTAAGGGTCAATTTGGTAGAATGGAAAAGAATAGAATGGTAATGGAAGGAAATTAAAAAAAAATGTGTTTGGTAGGAAATGTTGGATGGAAAGGAAAGGTAAATGAAGGATTTAAAGCGATAAACTGATGTATGACTAGTAGCTTTTGTTATCCTTCCAAAAATAGGAGCAAATGGAAGGACAGGGAAGGAAAGGCTAATATTTTTAATGAAACTTTATTAATACCAAATTTTCCCTTATTTTTATTTTTTATTTAAAAAAAAAAAAAAAAACTCTATAAATAAATAAAGTATGGTTGTAAATTCATTACAATAGTTTCATTTTCTTTCTTTCTCCAAACATGATTACTATCATTTTCTTTATTATCCTTTATTAATAAACAAAATACGACATGCAATTAACACTATCATTTCCTTTTCTTTCTTTTTCTTTTACCTCATAACTAATGTTATCCCTTTTTTTATTTTTCATTGTACTAAACGTAGCCTGAATCTTTCATCATTTTTTGTTAAGGAAAAAGAAAAGAAAGATTTTGGTATCATGAAATCAACTCTCCAAATTGATCTCAGGACGCTATGAAACTAGGGCCTGAGGCCAAATTGATCTCAGAGGGAGGCAATGAAACTAGGGACTGAGGCCAGCAAAACTTTGAGTTGGGTATCATAACGTTTGAATAAGGATTTCCAAAGGTTTGAAGGATGTATTGCTACATTACCGTTGCACATGTATGCTGGTTGTCAAGAGATCCCATGGGTCAACCAATAATATGGCCTACAGTGATATATATATATATATATATATATATATATATATATATATATATATGAAAAATCAGAAAGTGTGGGGATGGCAGGGCAGTGGTGGTAATGGCGGTGGAGAGAATAGAGAGATGGCAGGGCAGTGGTGGAGAGAAGAGAGAGAACGTGGCGCCACTAGTGGTGGTGGGTTTTGCGGTGGTGGTGTTGAGGGAAACTCAAATTATTTTTTATGTTTACATCAGCAATAAAAAGAAAAAATAAATATAATAATAGCGTGGATAATATGATAAAATTACACTGAAAATTGATCCGAAAGGGGTGTCATGGTGAATTTTTCAAAAATTTCATTGGAGGGTAATAAGTCCAAACCTAAGTCAAAGTAATTTACCCTTATTTTTAATAGCTACTTACAAACTAGAGGACCTAAAATGTTTAATACTTTTTCTTTTCTTTTTTTTAATGAAACAACACCAAAGTCCTACCCTACTATTTTACTACATACAATACATTGGCTGACCATGGCCCTGTTTGGGGGAGCTTCTTGATTCTAAAATTCCTTCCACTAAATGAGCTTTGTAGAATACATTTTGATGGAAGAGATTTAAAATATAAAAGTTGTTTGGTGAGTGCATTTTTTGAAGTTATTTTAACTACTAATCCAGTTTAACTTGACAATTTTATCATTAATATAATAGCGAGTTGAATTGGGATATAACAACAACAGAGGAAAAAAAAAAAAGATAATTAAAGTGATGGGTGGAAATCACCAATGATGGAACAACAATTAGTGGTGACAATTTTTTTCACACTTCAATTGTTGATGCTTTCACTGTCTTTGTTGATACTTTCTACTTTTCATACTTCCATTGATGGCTGACGAAGTGAAGGTGGAATACAGAATCACAGACTGATCCAACTACCTAAGTTGAAAGAGGAAAAAAAAACATGGGGAGGGGGGGGGGGGGGGAATTGAACATAAAACGATAAAGAGAGATGGTAGCAAAAGTATTCATACCCAATTTCATTCTTATTTATAGCTATAATAAAACCCTAATTTTAGAATTAAGTGAACGTGATACCTAAAATGATCGAGTAACCTTTAAAATATTATATATATATATACACACACATATATATATTGAGAGAGAGAGTGGTTGTTCAGAATTCTAAAGAGGGTTGAATTGGATGAGAGTTTACAAATCTTATACCTCTTCTGATCCTTAATTTTTTAGATCAAATGGGAGTCATTGGTAGGTTTTCTGCAACTTTTAACATCTTATGTTCCGCCAGTTTAAAAATAGGGCAATATGGTAATTAAAAATTTATCACTTGATCAATAACCTGATTCCCGAAAAGCTATCTACGAAGCAAGTTTTTGCTGCTTTCCCAGAACGGGCTTTCAAGGAGCTAGATTTTCTTCAAAGTCCGTTTAAATTTTTTTACCAAACAGACATATTTTTTTGAAACGGGCTTTTTAAGTTTAGAAGCCCGTTCTGAGGTTGCTGGAAGCCCAGCCAAACAGGGCCCATATCATTGACATGGACAAAGTTTCGGATAGTGCATTTTTTATTAGCTGACCATATCATTGACACGAAGAAGTTATTACACGGACCAAGCCAATCACTATGGGTGTGTTTGGTTAGATGGAAGTAGTAGGAAAGGAAAAGAAAAAGAAAATTTTTAAAATTTTTAAGTAACTTTCCCGCAAGTTGTTGATTTTCCTCAAAATGTTTCCCGCATAAAACACTAGAAAATTTCAATTTCACGTGAAAGGTGAAAGTTATGACTCTATATTTTAACTTTCTATTAAACCCCTTATCAATTGGTGATTTGTATATATGATTAACTCTTTATAGACTTCTAATATATTTGTATATGATAGAACACCAATTATGAAATGAAATTTGTCACGTAACTTTTCAAATATTTGTTTTACTATGTATTTTTGAAATATGTATATTTGAAGTAAGCCTCTAAAATTAATTGCTAAAACTTTTCTCACATATAAATAATTTAAAATTTAATATAAATAATTATATTATAATTCTTAATAATTTAATATTTTATCATTATTTATATATTTTGTTTTTAAAAATAAATATAAATAATTGGGTAAGGGGAGTAACGCAAATTTATTTTATTTTTAATATTTAAAATCACAAGGATAATTTTGGTAAGTATATCATTTTTTTTTTTCTATTTCATGCTTTCCAAACTAATAAAAAAATATTTTCTCACATTTTTCTTATAAAAGCATCACAAGCAGTATGTTAAAAATTTTTGTATAAATCTGATGTGTTTTACACAAAAATTTTGTACTAACTATTTTTAGCTCCAGCAGTTGTTTTATACCATTTGTATAAAAGAAGGAATCCCCCAATAACAACCAACCACGTGTCATACCCAATGCCCTATCATACCCAATGCCCTACAGAACTTTTACATACTTTATTCAGTCTACTTTTTGGCGATTAAACCTCATGTCCCAATCCTCCTCAATTAGGAAAATAATAATAATTTCCCCCTATATTTCACTTTCCCATCACGCCATTAGCAAACCTTTCACGCCATAGGTCCTGCCGCTTTATCTAATCTTTAAAAATAACAAAGAATAAAAAATAAGATTCAAGAATGTAAAAACTACATGATTAAAATATATATCTAATATTTACTTATCAAAAAAATATACATATATATCTAATATTTGGCTAGTACATATTTATCTCATTAGAATATAATGTAAAAGAATAAAAAATCTAAAAAAACCATAAAATTTACAGTATGATTTGCAAAAGATAAATATCAAACGAAAGTGATAAATCAAACCATGTTTATTAGAAAAATATATAAATAAATAAAAGATGGTTGAGCAGTTCTTACCTTACCACTAGTTACAGATTATACTCTATTGCACTCTAGAAAAGTGCGAAATAAGGAAGCGTACAGAAATGACAAAGAATAAAGAGAACCGTTGGTGAAAAAGAGGAGGAGAAAGAAAAGATGCTTACATGGCAATGTAAAAATGCTATGTAAAATATACAACCCTTTTACATATTAGTGATGTAACCGTATATCTTAACAGGCTGCTGAAGATGAAAAAAATTTACAAAACATATGTGGCGATATATATTTTACACAAAAAGATTTTTTAATAGACCGCAGAGATGCTCTAAAATTTTCTTCTCCCAAATGTGTGCCAGAAACTTCACTTTCTTTTCTTTTCTTTCACCTTCACCTTCACCTTCACCTTCACCTTCACGCCCATGCCCATGCCCATGCCCATGCCATCATAAATTTCTATTTATCAAGTGGACCCTATTGAATACTTAATGTCGTGATTAAGTGTCTGATGCCGATTGGTCAAGCCAAGACCATAAAAAAAATTCTCATGCCATCATAAATTTCTATTTATCAAGTGGACCCTATTGAATACTTAATGTCGTGATTAAGTGTCTGATGCCGATTGGTCAAGCCAAGACCATAAAAAAAATTCTCATTGACGTGTTTTGCGTGGCTGCGCAGCAAGGGACCCAGGGTATCAGCAGAAGCGCGTTGACGTAATAAAAACTTTCAAAAAGAAAGCGTGTTACAGACTGACATATACTTGCAACAACCCTACCAGACACTAATCAATGAATGGATACACTTTTGTATCCTGTCTATATCTTATCCCTGTTGTTGAATTATTTTCTGTGAATGTTTACCATAATATTTTGGAGAAATGGAACCAAAAAATAAAATAAAAAAACAATTAAATTTTCAAAAGTCCAGACAAATTAACAACCCTCACCACTCTATGCTCCATCTTAACATAAATTACCCTAAACCAAAAATTTTAAAAAAAAAAAAACAAACAAACAAATTAAGATCAAAGTGAGATAGAGAAAAAAAAAAAAATAGAAATTAACCTGATCGAGAGTGCTGAAATTGTCCGGGATGTAGTGGTACTTGTTTTTCTTCTTACCGGTTTCCGAAGAAGACGAAGGAATATTAGAAGCTTGTGGGGGATTGGAAGGTTGTAAAGGCAAGGTAAAGGAAGGATTCTTAGGTTTTTCTTCTTCTGCAGACATACTGCTTCTTGTTATGGGTGTGGAAATTGGTTCACTACTCAAACTCAAATTCCTGCTGCTTCCCACGGATCTTTCTCTGCTGCCATCGACCCTATTGGTTGAAGGAGAAGGATAAGTAAGAGTACGTTTCAGCCACTTATACATAGTATTACCCATTTGACAATTTCATCTTCTTCTTCGACGATTTATTGATGCAGACTCTCCGATTCAAAGGAAAGAGTATACACATAGATAGAGAGAGAGTGAGTGCGTGGGTGGGTGGGTGGGTGGGTGGGTGTTTTTGGTATCAAATATTGGTAATTCAGTAAGGTGTACTCAAGCACTCACTGGGGCTCTCTATTTCGTCGGTGGTTCCCAAAAGGAAGAGCATCAATGCTTTCTTTTAAAGTTCAGATGGTACTTATTTTAATATTTTTACGAGTCCTAAGGCACACAGTTGTCGCTGGCCGCTGGGCACTTCTCGAAGAAAACAGGTGTGAGCCCTTTAAAACTCTTCTACACTTCTCGTCAGACCAGCGTTATTGTTTTTAGGTAAAGGACCGTTACACTTATTGAGACTTGCAAAAAGACATTTAGAGAAAATTTACATAAATTTTGGATAAAAATATTTTTTGAAAATTAAAAAATAGACAAAGACATTTTTTTACATAAAAAATTAACCAAATTATTTTTTGACCGTTTAAGACACTTTTTTTTACTTTATAATTTAATAGATTGGACCAATTTACCCTCGTGAATAATTTATGCATAAAGAAAAAGAAAAAAAAAAAAAAACTTTATATTATTCACTTCTTTTTTTTTATTTACTTTATAAATGTCCCAACTTTTTAAAAATGTAGACGTGAAAAATAATTTTTTGATTCAATACATATATTTCAAATAAATTATCTTTTGTTATTACTTTTTTTCTTTTTCTTTTTTATTTTTAAATTAAAATACTTAATTCTTTCATCTAAAAAAATTTAATTAATCTCTTTTCCTTAAAAATAAAAAATTTGGTACCAGTATAACTTTATGCATCTTAAATTATACATCAAATATTATGCATTTTCCAACATAAAAGAAAATAAATACCATCTTAACTTTATGCATGCCTTTGTTTTTTTTTTTTCCCCCTTTGTTTTATTATTATTATTTTTTCCTTTTATATTGGGAAATGCATAATATTTGATATATAATTTAAGATGCATAAAGTTATACTGGTACCATATTTTTTATTTTAAGGAAAAGAGATTAGTTTAATTTTTTTAGATAGAAATAATTAAGCATCTTAATTTAAAAATAAAAAAGAAAAAGAAAAGAAGTAATAACAAAATATAATTTATTTGAAATATATTTATTGGATCAAAAACTCATTTTAGACGTCTACATTTTTAAGAAGTTGGGACATTTATAAAGTAAATAAATAAATAAAATGTGAACAATATAAAGTTTTTTTTTATGCATATATTATTCATGAGGGTAGATGGGTCCAATTTATTAAATTGTAAAGTTAAAAAAGTCTCCTAAATGATTAAAGGGTAATTTGGTCAATTTCTTATGTAAAGGGGTGTCTTTGTCCATTTTTGAACCTTCAGGGGTGTCTTTGTCCAAAAAACAGGTAAATTTCCTCTAAGTGTCCTTTTGCCAAATCTCAAAGGGTGTGGCTATACTTTACCCTAAAAACAATAACACTAGTCAGACGAGAAGTCTAAAAGAGTTTTAAAGGGCTCACACCTGTTTTCTTCGAGAAGTGCCCAGCGGCCAGCGCCAATTGTGTGCCTCAGGACTCGTAAAAAAATTAAAATACACTCAAATCGTTTAGCATGCCTTTTATTTATGTTGTTTTTATTTTTAGTTTGTTATGCTGTCGATTTTTTATGACAAAAATATATTTAGTGCAATCTTGTTTTATTTTACACAATGTTAAAACATTTAGTAAATGGTTTAAAATTAAAACACCAAAAATATGGTTTTTTTGTTAACTATTCATGACCCAAAACCATAACCGTGCATGTTTTTGTTTCCGACATTTCCACAACAAAATATCATTCCCAAATGTACTTCTGATTATTTATCTAAAATACTCCTACAACAAAAACGCTATCTTATTTTAAGCTAAAAACACCTAATACAAAGTGCATACCAAACAGACCCTAAAATAACATTTTTAACTAGTCATTTACTTTTGTAAATTTGCAATATTTTTTTATCAAACATATTTAATATTTTTATTTTTTAAAATTTTATAATAAATGTACGTTACCAAATGTGCTTTCAAATAGTATGGAACACACTTCAAAGTAGAAACATTGTTTCAACTTCGAGGCAAGAGAAAAGCACAAGACAGTTCAGTGCCTTTGTTGGTTGATTTAAGTTATTTAACTAATTGCAATATGTGTAAAATAAAAAACAATACTCGTGTGGTAATACAGTTGAAACATGAAATAATGTATTAAAACAAATATAATGTATTAAAATTAGATATAATGGCATGGCAGTGGCTGAAGGTTGCAACAATGGTGGCAATGACAGTAGTGGAAGGCAACAGAGGTGGTGGTGATGGTGAAAGTCGGCGATGATTGTGATAGAAAGTGGTGGTGGTGATTTTTGGACTTGGAGCATAAGTCATTGCAAAAATCACCGCCGCCGCCATTGCCTTCCACCATCAACGTCGCCACCTTCCACCATAATCACCACCATCTTTTACTATCACCATCTCCATTACCTTTCACCACCATCACTACCATCGCTATCATTGTTGCTACTTTCAACCACCACACCGTCATCGCCTCTACTGCCTTCTACTACTATCATCACCACCATAACCAACTTCCACCATTGTCACCACCTTCCACCATCGCAACCTCCATTGCCTTCCACCAACATCATTGCCACCACCACTATCACCATTTACGCCACCATTTCAACCGCCATCATCGCCACCTTCCACCAACCACCACCATTTACACCACTATCACCAAGCCTTCCACCGCATTCCACCACCACCGCCATCACTTCCACTATCTTCCACCATCACCGCCTACACCACTATCACATTCCACCACTACCACCGTCACTACCTTCCACCATCATTGTTTACCCCATTAACATTGTCACCGCCGCCTTCTAACACCATCACTTACACCATTATCGCTTCCCACCTCCACCGCCATCCACCACCAAATTTTATAAAAAAAATGTTATTTTGTTAATTTAATTTATTTGTCATTTTGAAAAATTCAATTTAAATTTATTTCATTTTAAATTTTAAATTGGTTCTATCAAACATTATAATGATTATTATCATTCCATTCCAATACATTTCATATTTGCAACTAAACAATATAATGAGAATGAGAATAATTATTCCATTCTATTCCAACATAAACTGCATTTCATTATTACATACCAACACAACACAAGAGTTTCAATTAAAATATTGTAACATCTTTTGAGATTTTAAAAATTTGCAGTAAGGGTATTTTTATAATTACAAAAAATTTTACATACAAAACCAAAATAAGTGTCAGCCCATTGAACTTCACGTGACTCCGCCGTCATTGGTGCAATGTTTATTTGAAATTTGAACTTGAAATTTTGATTTGTGTGTTTAGAATAATTATAAATTTAATATTGGTAGGCCCTACAAAAACAAAAACAAAAATTCTGGGAACCTCACGTGGTTCCGGCATTAGTGCTATGTTTGTTTGAAATTTGAATTTGAAATTTTGATTTGTGTGTTTAGAATAATTGTAAATTTAATATCTTTTTACAAATCTCATCAAATTTCATCGGTTTTCGTGACATTTGAGGACATTATAGTTTGGAATTTCAAATCCCATTAAATTCAGTTCCATTTGAAATTTTTTTGGTTTGAAAAACTAAAAATTTTATTTTGAATTTCAAATTACATCAAATTCAGCATTCCAAACCCCGTGTCAATTGCCATTTTTTATTTTTAAAAATTTATTAGAAAAAGATATTTAAAATTGTACCACATTTCCTTTACCAGGAAATCGAACCAAAAAAAAAAAAAAAAAAAACACACACACACACAAATGATCCCACCCATTTCAAAATGACCTATTATTATTATTTTTTAGGGTTAAAATCATAAAATACCGCTATTTTAAAATTTTGATCATAAAACTCTAACCTGTTTCTGAAAATTCATGTACTTTTTAAAAGTGATCGCATTGCCCGAATATCCGTGTTCGACCCGTTAATCGGGCTATAAAATGACAACTTTAACCTTACTATTTAATGTTAAATTAAAACCTAAAAATTATTTTTTTTAATTATAAAAATATCCATTAATCTTCTTCTTCACCCCCTCTCTCTCTCTAAAACATAGCATTTGTAATTTTAAATAGTATTTTTATAAATTTTAAAAATAATTTTTAGTTTTTAATTTAACATTAAATAATAAGATTAAATTTGTTATTTCATAACCCAGTTAACCGATCGGATATGAATATTGGGACAATGTAATCAATTTTTAAAAGTTTAGGAATTTTTTGAAATAGGTTAAGATTTTATGATCAAAATTTGAAAATAATGGGGGTTTTCTGATTTTTACCTTATTTTTTATCTATTGAGGAGAGTTAGTAGTTAGTGGGGATAAGAAAATGGGATTCAAACCTAGGAGCGTAAGGTAGGGGTACTTAAGACTTGACCCTTTTTCACTCGGACAACGTCATCACACCTTAAAATGACATAATATATTATTATATTGCTTAGTATTTTTTGCCATTTGTGTTGGGTGTGTATACATGTGTATTTATATTAAGAGTAATTTGCACTCATACCATTTAGGTTTGTAATGAAGACACGTAGATACAATTTAAGGAGAATGTAATCCAATTGCTCTCCCAAGTTTACAAACTTGAACAATAACACCCTCAACCATAATAAGAGTACTTAATTGCCATTTGACTTTTGAATTGACCTATTTAAATCATTAAAATACAATATTAAACTTTATAAGTACTTTTATTTGACCAAAATAACCCTTAGCAAAAAAAAAAAAGAAAAAAAAAAGAAAAAAAAGGAAAAAAAACTCCACCACTATGGCTGCTAACAGCATATGCATGCAAACAGGGGCAAAAGTTGGAGCTGATAGCGCATTCTAGGGGACGAGTGAAAGCAACTCCTAAACCGGCTCCCTACTTTCTATTCCGCAGACCTCACTTGAAGAATTGGTGGTTTGACTGTTGCGCGAGAAGCGATTTGGTAACCCTGAACTATGAAGACCATGAACCCCGCTTCCTTTCTCACTCACCCTGAAAGCTAAGACAAACAAGGCTAAGCTAACAAGCTCAAGCGTACTACTGCGGGTATCCAATCCCGCCGCTCAGATGTCAAGCGGATTCCTGGGCCTTGACGAATGGCCGGCCACCTTTGACGTTAGAAGAGCACATGGCTTATATCTTAGAACACCACCAGGGGCATGAGCTTGGGCTCAATACGAGATCACACTTTTTGAAGTTTTCGCGGAGTCATATTAATGAAAATGGGGTTGAGGCCAAAAACACGGGGTTTTTAGCCCAAGACAAATTACCTAGTTGGTTATTTAGATGACGTCATTTAGGCAGTAGCAGTAGGTTCAACCATTTTCTCATAAAGAATGGTCTAGGTCGAGTGCCAATGTGGCCCACCAGAAGGCCTTTGTGAATAACATGGGCCAGGCAGCATTTTGGCAAATTCAAATGGAAGCCCGAAATTTTTAATTTGGGGTCAAATTAGTAATGTAAAATTAAAATTTTAAAATAATATAAAATCATTATAAGAAATAAAAATTTTGTGCATATTTAATGTCCTCGCTAAAATAGATGGATTAATTATATTATATAATACTTAAACAAAATTCTAATACAAAACTTTGACTTTTCATCTCAAAAAGTATGAAATATAATTATTAAATATATATATTTTTTATGTCATAATAATATATTAAATATTAAATATCACCTTCAAGTAATCACACAAAATCCAATCTTTTCATATCTTAGTGTTGACTGAAACATTACTTACACAACATGTTACATTTTTCTTCCACAAAAACAAAGAAAAATGTAAAAGAAAACATGTCACAATAAAATTATATTTATTTTTTCATTCTTTAGGGTCATTTTGGTCAATTAATAGAAGGTTATAAAGGTAATTTAATAATTCAAATGGGTTAATTCAAAAGTCAATGGGCAAGTATGTACTTTTATCGTGATTGGTAGTGTCTTTTTTCATTTTTTAAACATAGGGATGTTATTATAAAAAAAATGCTTAAGTTGTAGATGACTGTCTTTAATTCAAACACCAGAGATATCAATGCAATTTACCTTATATTAATATCTCAAATCAACAACCACCCCATCAACTACCCGGCACTGTTGCCCCCATTCAACAAGCAACGAGGTTACTGGTCTAATTGCAATGGCAATTAAACCCTGTATTTGGTATCTATTGATGGAAGATGTCTTTTGATTAATTCGGCTCTTGAAGATGATAGATGCTGAAATACAGTACCAGAAAATAGGGAAGAATATAATATATATATATATATATATATATATATATATATATATATATATATGAGAAAAAATGGTTTAATTGAAGAAAGAAAATAATAAAAATTTCTTTGAAAAGAATAAATAATAATAATAATTTTGAAAAAATGAGTGAGAAGGAAAAGCAGGAAAGAACTAGAGAAATTCTGTTAAAAAAATAATTTTAGGGGAGCATTTTGTGTAATTTTATAAACTGTACACATATAATGTACAAAAATAATAATGAGCCAACATGAGCCTAGTATTCTAGGGAGGGAAAATGTACTCTTTGTTTCCTTGTTATAAATCTACATCAAATATATATCTTCTTCTTATTCTTCCCTAGATATTCAATTCACTGCCTGAATGACTATTGATCGCAAATTTGAAATTACTACAAATATTCCTTCAGGAAAGTCATCTTTGAGTTATGTGTGGAACACTTGGCAAAAATTAGAAGACAAAAGGATATGAAATATAATACATTGTATATTAGTCCTATTAGAATTTGTTTTACTTGAAGAAAATTTTAGCGGACTGTAATATCTCATTAGATCATACGTTGGTGGTTTTACCAACTGTAATATTATTTCAGTATAATATATATCAGTTTTTCTTTGCCAAAAAAAATCCAATCTTAAATTCGTGATCTGAAGTAGTTGAACCAATGAAATTCATTTTTATGCGGATGGGTGGAGAGAAAAAGTTTATAATATAAGAATATAGATACTCAGTACTCCCAATAAAAATATTTAATAGAGAGCCAAAGTATGCTTTTCCCGAATGCATTTGAACTCCATCCAAAGTATACTGCATCAAGGGAGAGCATTATTAGGTATGGGCATCTATCCTAAGGCATATCTGGACACTACGTTATAATGAGAAAACAGGTATTTGGAAGGAATGGACTCTAAACACTTGATCAAACATATAAGTATTTGGGATATTCCTATCCCAAATGATTGGTCTTGGTTTTGGAGAAAATTGCTCAAGAACAGGCACTTAGCACAACCACTAATTAAGCACAACATCAACTATAACACATCTATAATGTTTTTTTTTTTTTTTTTTTTTTTTTTTAACAACTGGCTTCCTTGTGCCCCCTGTACCAAAAACTATCTAATCCCTATCATAGACATGACAGGATAATCAACAAACATATGAAAGTATCAGCACTGCTCACAATAATCATTGGTCATGGCCTAGATATATATCCAACCTTGTGACCCGTCGCTGTGACATCAACAACCTACCATTCCCTAACCTAAACACCAATGATATCATACAATGGATTCCATCACTCACTAAATCTTACTCCACAAAGCACACCCTCTTAGCCAATACGTACCCAACCAATTCCAACCATTTTATTGCACAAACTTGTATGGTTCAAACATACCATCCCAAAACACTCATTTTGTCTAAACTACTTACCCAAACTAACACTCCACTTTACTATGCAACCTAATGCGTGCATTTTATGCCTCAAATTTGCAGAAACCCATGAGCACTTGTTCCACCAATGTGAATACTAAAAAACATGTGGAATGGTTTAGAATACAAATGGGGTTTCGGTTGGCACCAAAAC